GCCTTGCAGCACCAGTTCGATCCCCGACCACCGGCGAGGGTTCCACATGGCGCGCAGACCTCTCCTGCCGCCCGCTGCTCCCCTCAACAGTATATTTCGTCAGTCTACCTGTTCTGTTCCCTGCTCTGGCTCTGGTGAATTCTCTCACCCTCCCGTGCTTCTGACTATACCCAGTGCTTGTATAAATAAATAAATAAATCTTAAAAAAACAAAACAAAAACACTAAAAATGGATCTGCCATATGACCCAGCAACCCCACTCCTAAGAATCTACACACAGGACACAAAAACACAATTCAAAAGGAGACCTGCACACTTATGTTTATTGTAGCACTGTTTACAATAGCCAAGATATGGAGACAACCTAAATGCCCCAAACAGATGAGAGGATCAAGAAGATGTGGTGTATACACAATGGAATACTACTCAGCAATCAAAAATGATGAAATTGTGCCATTTGTGGCAAGATGGATGGAACTAGAAGGGATTATGCTAAGCAAAATAAGTCAGAAGAAAAATGATGGTCTCACCTATACTTGGAATATAGGAAAAACAAAGGGTCAGGGAAAAAGACAAAACCTGCAAGCTGACCATTGATCTCAGGCACACAGCAGGGGAGGAGGAGGGAGAGGGGTCATAATGGGAGGGAGAGCACAAGGGGCTGTGCTGATGGATCGCAGGTGCTGTGGTGGTGGGGACTATGGGGACTACACCTGAGGGGAAAGATCCAATATTGCACAAAAACGAACAACGATGTAATAAATAAAAAGTGGGGACTGGACAATGCTAAACAGCAGCACACAGAACCCTGAAGTCGTGGAGTCACGGACTGGATGTGTAGAGATGATCTAACTAACCCTGTCGCTGCACACCCGGCAGATGGCTCCTCAAAGGTCGAATGCTAGTCAAGGGCAGACTGGGGGGGGGGGTGTCCAGTGACCCCAGCACCAGGGCTATCTCCTAATGTGTGGAGAGATCTAGTGACAGTGCTGGGTGTCAGAAAGTTCCAGCTCTGAACATGCCTCCAGCCAACGGTGACAAGCGGCCAGCTGCTGTCATCAAATCTGACCCTGGAAACCGAGGGTTTTCCCCAAGCATACAAGATGTCATCTGAGAACCAAACTGTCCAACCAGACTCCCCACCCCTGCTCTTCCTGCTCCCACATCTCTCTGTAACTGATCCTGAAGGGAGGAGCACCCCAGGCCTGAAAGAAAGAGCTGGGGATGTACAAAGGAGGGGACCCCACCCATCCTGTTCCACCCCAACCCCCTTGCTCCTCAGGACCCAGGACCCACGCACCCCCAGACATGGGCAGGATCCAGCATGAAGGTGGGGGGAGAGCAGTGGAATTGCCTGACCCCTTCCCCCACCACACTAAAACACTTTTCCCTTCTCTAAATTCTATCAGTACCTGGTTTACACTCTGCGTTTTCCACCTCCATACTGCCTGACTCCTCTCTGTGTTTGCTTCATTTTCACCTGAACAAATCGGTCCTGGGGCGCGGGCAGAGCGCACTTGTCTGGGACCCCACGCCAGCCGTGATGTCTTTGACGCCTTTTACAGCCTCCTACCTCCTTGCCAAGGTCCCCTTTCCTCCTGCTTTTCTCTACCCTCTGCCCTTCTCAGCAAGCTGATGTTTCTATGGGGAATGTAGTTAAAACCCGAGGAACAACCAGCACAAGTTTCCCACTGCTTGTGAGATGGGGACAATTTGATCCCAAATATTGAAAACTTGTGCTAGAAAGTGCCTCTGAGCCCGAGCTTCCTGCCCCCCAAGCCTGTGCACTCTGAGCCAGCAAACGGGAGGGGCTGATGTTCCAGAACACACCTGTGGGCCAGGCTCTCTGTTCTGGGGGCACAGGCAGGTGGGCAGTGATGGCTGACAGGTGGTCCTCTTTGCTTCTCTCACCTGTCATGCACATGTGATTAAGTCTCTGGGCCAGACCTTCAGTGGTTTCAGTGAGGGAAATTAAGGAAGTAAAATGCACATACTGGGCCTCCCTGGTGGTGCAGGTGGTTGAGCGCCGCACTGTGAAGCTGTCCTCAGCCTCTGCAGCATGGGTTCAATCCTGGCCGGCCAGCAAGACTCCCACATGGCGCAGCAGACCTCTCCTGTCTCGTCCACTGCTCTCCTCAGCAGTGTATCTCAGTCAGTCTGCCTGTTCTGCTCCCCGCTCTGTCTCAGGTGAATCCTTTCACCCTCCTGCACATCTGGCCTGTACCCCGGTTCTTGTATGCATGAATAAATAACATCTTTAAAAAAAATGCACATACTTCCAATTCAGGATGGTTACGTATCAATATAAACTCATAATGTATTTGCATAGCGATATTTCCCCCAGCTTTGTTTTTTTTCTTATTTTTTCTAATTTATTTTCTTATATCATTGTTCATTTTTGTACAATATTTGAAGTGAAGTCCCCGTAGTTCTCCCATGACCACAGCACCCGTGACCCATCACCACAGACCCTTGTGCTCTTCCCTCCCACTCTGACCCCCTCTCCCTCCCCTGCTGTGCATCTCAGATCTATGATCCACTGCAAGTGTTGTCTTTCTCCTGTCCCTTTGTTCGGTTTCCCTATATTCCACCTAGAAGTGAAACCATCCAGTAGTTTTCCTTCTCTTTCTGGTTTATTTCACTGAGCATAATCCCTTCCAGCTCCATCCATGTTTCTGCAAATGGCATTTCCCTAGCTTTGTTCCCCCAAAAGACCTCAAGTCAACCCAGTAATACACACTCCTGATGCTGGTATTATGGCCTGTAAGTACCTTTTCTCACAAGATGCAATCAGAGACCCAGGTGTGTGTCAGGAAGCAGAAGACACAGCCGGACACCCAGTCATGCGGCAGCAAAACAGCTTCCAAAGACCACTTAGACTTGTCTCAAAAGGACCCAGAAATCAACTTGATGAGGCTCCCAGGGGCCACAGATGAGAACCTTTGGACTGAATAGTAACTTCAAAGCACTGAAACACATCCATGAACAAGTAACAAGAGGGGAAAACCCCTGTCCTCACTAGTAATGCCGGGAGTCAAGTCATTGTTTTAAAAACTGGTAAATACAAGGAAGGAGCTAGGCACTTGAAGAAATAAAATGGCATTTTCCAAGATCTATGAAAAACATGAATGTAGGTAAAGCTGTCATTGACTACTAATATCCAAAAAGAAAGACAACCAGACAATTGACAGTCTCTTCCATGGAAGCACACACATCTACTAAATATTCATGCAAAAGCAAAGCTAAATATGACCTGGTCTCTGACTTGACCAATTTACAGAAAATACGGGAGCAATAAAAGCATGTGACCATCACCATGGAAATGCCATCAGCAAAACCCAGGTGCTCTCTAAGACAAGTCACCGGTTTCTTTAATAAATGAATTACAAGGGAAAAATTTGAGGAGGTATCTTTGGGTTACAAGAGATTGAGAAGATACAATCAATTGCTATGTATGCAACTTATTAGACTCTGATTTGAACGAAAAAAAACTACACAAAAAATCTGAGACAGGGAAATGTCAATACTGGATGGATTTTGCTTGTATTAAATAATTCTTTTTTGGTCTATAATAGTAAACTGGGTATGTGGCTTTATATTTCAGTAAGTCCTTTATCTTTTAGAAATATATTAGGGGGCCTCCCCAGTGGCACAGCGGTTGAGCACTGGGTTGCGAAGCTGCCCACGGCCTCTGCAGCATCGGTTTGATTCCCAGCCATCAGAGGAGGGTCCCACATGGCGTGCAGACCTCTCCTGCCACCCGCTGCTCCCGTCAGCAGTGTACTTCGGTCCTTCTGCCTGCTCTGCTCCCTGCTCTGGCTCTGGTGAATTCTCTCACCCTCCCGTGCTTCTGACTGTACCCAGTGCATGTATAAACAAACAAACAAACAAACAAATAAAAACATGCCTCTATATTAAAAAAAAAAGGTAAAAAAAAAAGAAATATATTAGGAATAAAATATGCTTGACATTTGCTTTAAAATTATGTAGGAGTCACATACCAGGGTATTACTAAATAAGTTATACATTTAAAGGCCTGTATCCCTATGATGGTGCAATGAAACCTAAATCAAACCAAGCTTGTGAAGGAGGGAAGGGGTTAAGAAGGAATGTCTTAAAAGTCACTGAGGATACGGTCAGCCAATAAGAATGGTGATTCAGCAGGAAAAAAATGACTATTTCTTCACAACTGAATGGCATTAAAAGAAAAAGAGGGGTTGGGCCTCCCCGGTGGCACAGCGGTTGAGCGCTGGGTTGCAATGCTGCTCACAGCCTCTGCAGCACCAGTTCGATCCCCAGCTGCTCCCCAGCCACCGGAGGAGGGTCCCGCATGGCGCGCGGACCTCTCCTGCCGCCCGCTGCTCCCCTCAGCAGTGTACTTCAGTCTGCCTGCTCTGCTCCCTGCTCTGGGTCTGGTGAATTCTCTCACCCTCCCGCGCTTCTGACTGTACCCAGTGTTTGTATCAATAAAAAAAAAAAAAAATCTTAAAAAATAAAAAAAAAATCTTAAAAAAAAAAAGAGGGGAAATGTTAGGGATTGAGAGAAACCTAAGAGACAGACTCAGCACAGGCAAAGTATAAAAAGGCACTTTTGAGACAATTGGGAAAAGCTGCGTATGGGCCGGGAAATCGGCAGTAAAGAATCTTGGATATGATCAAGGTTTGACCTTGTTACAAAGTCCTGTGCCGCAGAGACACACTCTGAAATACATACAAGTGAAACAGAATTGTCTGCCATATGCTTTTATAATGTCTCTGGGGAGGGGGCTTCCCTGGTGGCGCAAGGGGTTAAGCACTGCACTATGAAGCAAACCCACCCGGCCGGCCAGCGAGCTACCCACATGGCACAGCAGACCTCTCCTGTCTCGCCCGCTGCTCCCCTCAGCAGTGTGTTTCAGTTGATCTGCCTGTTCTGTTCCCCACTCTGTCTCTGGTGAATCCTCTCACCCCCTGTACCACTGACCTGTACCCCAGCTCTTATATGCATAAATAAATCTTTAAAAAAAAGCTTCAGGGGGAAAAAAAAGGTAGACAAGTGATCGTAGATGATATAAAAATGGTAGAATGTCAATAACTGTTAACATCAGAGTCATTACACCAGGATTATCACTCATGTTATGTTTGAAATTTTTCATAATAAAAAGTTAAACACTGGTGGTGGACCAGGGTGATTTGATGGAGGGTGCACTATGGAAACAATACCTGGTGGGGGATTCCAATTAATACATCATTAAAAATAAGAACTAAAATTAATAAACCACAAAAAAGTTAAGCAAAATACAGAACATTAAAAATAAAGCTTGTCCTTACACAGGGTGTTAATGGTTCTGACCACTCTGGGACTTAAGGGAAAGTACAGTCAGGGTCGGGGGGTCAGGGAAAAGGCGAAGCAGGAAGGGTCTGAATTTGACATGAGCCTGGTAGGCCAGGCGCTTGCCAGGTGCCCTCGCATGGCTGTGGTTGATCACAGGTGCTTGCTCCACCTGGTCTGCATTGCGGCCCTTTGTGAAGACCAGCGTGCTGGACTCTTCTCAACTAAAAGCACGTCCCAATTCAGGGAGGCACAGCCGTACCCCAGCACCCAACAGGCAGTCTGTGGTCTGTGGCGCCCTCTGTGGGTGGTGCTGGAAACCGAAGCTGAGCTGGTCCTATCCTCCAGAAAACCAAACACAGGCCAATTAAACATATAAGTAGCCTTTAATTTCATCACCATAAACATTATACTCTGATTGCTCACATACAGTATAAAATATTTACTCCGCTAAATAAATAAGACATAACATTATTGCAAACGGCACTTAAACCCCCCCAGAGATAAGACCTCCTTAGCCCAGGCAGGGGGTGCTCCTGAGTTTTCTGTGAGATTCCCCAAGCACAGAGAAGCCCTGGGGGCTGAGACACAGGCTTGGAGAGTCACACTCTGCTTCTGCCCTGTGACAGCCCCAGGAGAGGGCTGTGAAACCAGCGGGAAAGGTCGGGGTGGGTGCTAGAGGGAGCAGAGGGAGGTTGGGCTGGGCCGAGGGGAGGGGAGCCAGGGAAGCTGCTGAGACTGGGTGCCCCACCTTCCATCCGTCCCCAGTCTGCCACAGGACGCGGGATGTCTGTCGGGTGAGCGCCTCCTGGGTTAGACAGCCAGACCATTACTGCAGCTCTGGCAGTGCCCAGTACAGTAACTGCCTATCTCAGGGCCCAGCTGCGGGGGCCCTACCCTACTCCTTGGCACCAGCACAGCAAAGCTGGGAATTGATTTCCCTCTACTTAAATAAATAAGTTAAATATTTAAAGGCTTGTGTCCCTCTGATGGCAACACAGTAGCCAACAAGCCAAGTCCTGATTGAACAAAAAGGCGGGGGGATCAGCAGAGAGGCAGTGCTGGGGGGGCAAGGCAGCTGCCCCTCTTCCCTTAGGGCAACACCCCCAAATAACTTTCACACTTTCAAATCCCTCAGAGAAATTTCACACTGGAAACTCCCACACAAGAGCAACATTGGGGGAATGTTTAGAGGTGGGAGACCAGATGGCCAAGTTTACTCAGCTACCCAATTCCCTTCTGGGTCTGCCCTGACCAGCACACTCGCTGTAACCCTGAGCATGGGTAAAGCTCCAATTGAGTCCTGCACTCCAGGGCGTGGAGCTCGCCATTGCCATGCCTTCTGACCCCACTGGAGGGAAGTCCACGCTGAAGCTCACCTGGAGAGCCACTGGCCAGCCAGCCTTTAAGGCTGGGCACAGGGAAGAGGGCAACCCCAGTTCCCCATCCACGCAGCTGTACACCCCACCACCACAGGGTGGCAGCAGAGAGACACAACACTTTGGCAGCAAGAGAAACTGGAAGGCCAGGGACCTGGGGAGGGGGGCTGGGACCCCATGAGGCAGGCCCTCCCTCAGGCAGCAGGAAGCGCTCTACACTGAGTATTTGGTCAAGTCACTTTTGTCAAATACTACCTGTGTAGCAAAGTAAATGGCAACCAGCCCCAGGCCTGCAGCCGACACCATGTAAGCAGTGACCGACTGGCTGAGCTGAACAATGGAGCCCATGAACAGGGACGGAGCCACCTGGGACAGCAGGAAGGCACTGTCCAGGATGGCGAGGTCCAGGCAGATGCCCCGGCCTGGAACAACCCTGGTCTCAAGCGGCTCGCCCATCACCACACGCATGGAGACGTCACAGGCAGAGGCCCCGCAGAGCGCAGGGGGAGCGGGGAGCAGGCCGCCGCCTCCGGCACTCATGTGTCCATTGGGAAAGGAGGACCCAGCCTTGGGGCCAGGGGAGAAGCTGGTCATCGGGCTGTCCTCACTGGAGCCACTGCCACTGTCTCCTCGGTATTTGGGCAGGAACACCTGGGGGGGAAGGAGGAGGGAAGTGGGGTGAGGATAGGAGTGTACCCAACCAAGCATGGGCCCCCGGCTGAGAACGGGCCCTGGCCTTCATCCCAGGGGCTGGAAGAAACAGAGTCAGGCGGCAGGTGGGCAACAGCAGACCTGGCTGGTATGGGGTAGTGGGGACCCTTCTCAGGAACAGGAGGGTCAGAGGGGGCATGGGAGCACAGAAGTCGGGGTCTGCTCTATTCTGTCCTAGAACAGCAGGAGACAGACAAACTCAGTACTGTAGGCTGGGCAGAGAGCAGAACCCCAAGGTGAAGACACAGGAAGAACTAAAACAGGCAAGAAGAGAAACGTGAGCAAAGACCAAATGCAAAGGGGGTCCCGGAGGCCCAAACAACACCCTGCCCCTCTTGCCAGCACTTCATGCTGGGAAACCCTCACTCTCTGCAGAGCCCTGCTCTGCTCCCATCGAGGCCCAGGCAGAGCTGCTGCTTTGAAGCAGAGGGTTCAGCGAACAGCCGGAGGCGGAGCCGCAGCAGCATCACAGCTGCCAGCTGCCCCTGCCAGCTGTGCTAATGCCGAAGTCCTGGCTTCGTCCTCCCCGTGTGCCTGAGATCCAGTGACCTGGCCCTGCCTTGCTGGTGATACCACCCCTCTTTAAGGACAAGGACTTCGCGGTCGTCCCTCCTCCCACTACTGTGTGACAGAACAGCCATACGAGGTGCGAACCCGACTCCGCGGAAGCACCGGCTCACCATGGGCACAGGAAGTGGGCAAAGCAGACACGGGCAGGGCCAGACGCCTCCGCTCCTTATCTGGGCAAGGAAGAGGGCTAGCTGGGCATGCTCCCTGGGCACAACTGCATGCGCCCAAGCCAGGCCTGGGGATAGCACCCCAGGACTCCGCAGGGCAGCAGAGTGGAAGCTGGCGAGGCCATCAGGGCATGGACAGCATCTCGGGGACCCAAACCCTGGCCTCTCCCTTCACACCCTGCCCATTCCCGTAGCCACCTCTGCAGCTAACCAGCTTCCCAGCCCAAATTTCCTCCACTACCCCACTCATGCCCACCCAGAGGCAGACACACCTCCCCACAGTCTGGAAGCTCTGGAAGCTCCTTTCTTGACACCCCAACTCCTTGCCCTCTGGCCAAAACTGTGCCCTAGGGCTGCAGTGGGTGAGGCCAGTGGACAAGACCAAGGCAGCCCACACAGCCTGGGTGAAAGGCTTCCCAAAGAAGGGGCCCCGTTGAGGGGCTGGCGAATGTGGACCGAGAAAGGAGGTGGCCCCCCAACTCTCACAGTGCCCAGGTGAGCGGTGTCAGGTGCAGGGGGGCTCAGGGATCCGCCATGGGGCGGGGGAGGTGGAGGTGTGAGGAGGCAGGAAAAGAGAGAATTAGATAGAAAAGGAAGATCACCCAGAAAGGGAGGGGGTCAGAGGAGCCTCCCCATGTCCGAGGCCAGAGGAAGGGGGTGGTGTCCCCAAGCCTCTCTGCTGGTTGCAGCTAAGGACAGACCGCTACCTCACCCTCTGCTGCGGCCAGGGGCCCTGTCCAGACCGAGGGCCTCAGGAGCAGGTGCTTCAGGACCCCCAGAGAGGGGCAAGCACTTCCGGCACCATCCACTCGAGCTCCAGACAGTCTGGACACCAGGAAGCCATCCCCAGAGCCTAACCTACACCCTTCTCCCGCAGCCCTGGGGCTACAGCACAGGCTTCCTCCCCGTCAAGGCTGAGCCAGCCCACCCGTGCTCCACCCAGTGGCCAGCGGAGTACCTGTTTCTCACGGTGGTAGAGGGAGGCCAGTGTGTAGGGCAGGATCTGCAGGGCCGAGAACGTGAAGCCAGTGAGGGCGGCAGAGGCTGTCACCACGGCCACGCTGCGGGACAGGCATGTGGCGCCAGCAGCCACAGGGAAGGCCACCACGCTGGCCAGATAGACTGCCCGAGTGCCGAATCGCTGCACCAGCCGGTCCATGACCAGGGAGAAGAGCAGGGAGATGGTGCATTGCAGGAACAGCCCCAGGCTGCCCATCCGGACACCTGGAAAGGGAGGGCAGGGTGTCAGGCTGGAGGGCAACAGCATCTGGCAGCATAGTCAGGACCAGGCACCTGCTGCCAGGACATGCTGCAGGCCAGATCATCCTGGGACACTTGCCACCCTGCCTGGGGCAAGAGGAGCTGAGGCTCTTCCACTGACACTGGGCCTGTGTCCAAAGCTGCAGGTTTAGGGCAGGGGAGGATGTTCTAGGGGCTGCCTGGGAACCTCAGCTCTGGGGCCAGGAGGGTAGGAGGGAACACAGATTGTTCAGCCACTGCCTCCAGGAGGCTTGGAAAGTCAGCAGAGCAGAGAGACTGAGGCTGGGACCAGGCAGCCTTGAGGCGAGCCTCCACTCCGTCCATCCCCTCAACCTTAAACAAGCTGTCAGCCTCTTCTGCCAGCAACACTGATCCAACTCTCGCAATTGAGACCATAGAGCTGCACCCCTGAGGAGCAGCATGTGCAGGGGCAAAGTGGGCCCCTCCTCTTGCTGGAGAAATGATGCCCAGATACCAGCCCAGGCACGGGCTGTGGGCCTCTCCCTCTGCCTGGACTCAACAGCCCCTCCCCACCAGGCCTGCCCAGGCTGCTGAGGCCTTACCTTCATCATAGTGTCTCCGGGCCTCAGTGCCAGGCTCAGCTCTGGGCACACCCTTGTACAGCCCCTCGCCCACGAAGTCCGTGTAGAACAGTGTGAAGGTCATGAAGGCCATCCAGCTGCATAGCTCGGCCACAAAGAGTCTGCGCAGGGTCCGAGGTACGCGGCAGCAGAGCTGGTGCAGCCGGGGTAACAGGGCACCCAGGTTCCGGAAAGCCAGGCGGGCACGGCATGGGCAGCAGTGGGACAGCGAGGAGGGGCCCGACAGCCCTTCCACCGGCTCAGCCGGGCCCAGCGCTGCCTCCTCAGTGACAAACAGCGTGGCTGCCATGCACACAAGGAAGATGAGTGTGAGCAGGCCGAAGAGGCACTCCTCCTGGGTGCCCAGGTAGGGGGCTAGGGCACTGGCATCCCAGTCAATGGCAGGCAGGAGGTAGCCCAGGCAGCCCCCAAGGCTGATCATGAAGGCGTAGACGGAGAAGGCCTGGCGGCAGTGATCTGGGTCCCGGAAGAGGTCGGAGAGCAGGGCTTCCAGCGGCGTGAAGCACACTTGGCCGCAGAAGTCCAGCAGCCCCACGCCCAGGATCAGCAGTGCCAGCTCCAGGGGCCTGGTGTCTGAACACAGCAGCCCCGCTAGCCAGCCGGCTCTGGGAATGAGGAAGAGGCTCAGCAGGACGCCCAGAGACAGGGCCCAGATGAAGGGCCTCCGGCGGCCATAGCGCCCACGCCAGTGGTCACTGGCTGAGCCCAGGAGTGGAACGGAGACCAGGCCCAGCACTGGACCGATGCCTGCAAAAAAAGGCGAGCGGCATGAGCCAGAGGCTGGGGCCCACGGAGCAGAGGGCAAGCTCCTTCTCCGTGAGGAGGATGGCAATGACTGTGAGATCACGCGAAGGGCAGCTCTGTACCAGACATCAGCTGAGTGCTCCACGGGGCCCGCATGCACTCCTCAGAGCAGGCCCACTAATACCCAATTAAGATGGGGAAACTGAGGCATGGAGCAACTGGTGACATTTGTGCATAGGAGGGTTTTATGAGACTCTGACCCGAGCCCCCCGACAGGACCCCCTCTCCCAGGAGGCACATGATGGTGACCACTTGCCTTCTGTGGCTTTTGCAGGCACACCTGCGGTCAGGAGCCCAGCCCCCACCGGGGGTCAGAAAGAGCCCTGCTGGGGGGTCCCACTTCTACTACTCAGCAGCTGTATAGCTTTGGCTAAGTCCCCTAACTTCAAGCCTCTGTTTTCTTCCCTGTAAAGGAAGACTGTTGCAAGATGACCTGAGATGACGGGCAGAAGTTACTAAGGGCTGGGCAAAGGTGAAGAGCGATTTCTCCAGCGCTTACTATGCACCGGGCACTGTGTGGGTGCTGGGGGTACAGGGGTGATGAGGGTCTGTCCCGGTGTTCTTCCTTGGCTCCCGGGCCCCTCAGCCAGGGTCGCCCCGTCCCAAGCAGTGCGGACCTGCCAGGCTCAGGAGCAGCAGAGAGCACCTCTCCCTCCCACTGCTCTTGGGCAAGGCGGGTCACTCCACTTCCCGGGCGGCATATATTTGGAGCAGGAGGGAAGGAGGATGTGGTGACTCACCCAGTACCATGGTCATGAACTTCTCCTCCACCCCCACTTCCAGCAGCAGGGGCGGCACATAGGTGATGCCTGCAGCCAGGCACACCTCCAGGCCGAAGGTCAGCAGGTTGACCAGCAGGAGCTGAGCTTTCCGATGCCGCAGCAGGTGGCTCCCCCACAGCCTCTGGACCATGGCGGGCCAGGAGGGCAGGGCTCGGCCCGTTCAGGAACTCCAGAACCGTTTCGTCCCAGCCCTGGTCCCGACGCCCGGGCCTCTTCTCGCTGCCACTGTCTGCCTGGGACGCAGCCAGGAGCCCATTTCCGCCAGCCCGGCCTGCAGGTGCGGCTGCTCAGCCCATGCTACACACGGCTGCCACGGGGCGCCTCGGCGGGGACATATCACTCGGCTCCTGAAAGGGTGGGGACAATCAAACAGTGTTAAGTCCTGGGAAGGGCTCCAGGATTTGCTCTGAATTCTCTGAATCCTGTTCACTCCCAGGCTGTCGGTGCGGCGTAGCCTCCAAGGTGCCACGGCTACTGCCCAATCAGGAAATGCATGTTAATATTAGCCTAAGGCTGACATAATTAATAAGGTAAATATGAGTTTTAAGCCTCAGCACACTCCAGAACCTAACTGATGTTGGTTATTCTGTTTTAAAATATCTCTAATTGTTCTTGTGGGGAGAAGAAAAAAAAAAAAAAATCAAGCCAACTGAGTCCTCAGTTCCCCGGGTCCTGTTATCAAGGTGCCCCCTGGAGCCTTTTCCAGCCTGGTTTGTTTGTCTTTCTTCTCTCCCCTTCCAAGCCCAGCAGTTCAATTCCCCTTTGTTAAGAGTAACACTTCCTATTCTGCAGGCCTGGCCAGGCGCCACCTGCACCGCAACTCCCACCCCCAGGATGAGGACAAGGGGAAGGGAGCGGCTGTGGCTTGTTGGGTTGGGTTTTAACCTGTCACTGAAACCACTTGAACGGAGAGGTCCCAAAGAACCTGTGCCCGAAAACCTCTCCCTTGAGCTTCTCCCTGTGTCAACGCTCAAACTCACGGGGAGAAACATCCCCACCCCGGGCCCACCTGGGGCCGACACACCTTCCCGGCACAGCAGGTCTCCCCAGGTCCCAGCCTCACAGGCACCAAACCACACCACCTGGCAGCTTGGTGATTCTGACAGTGACCCCTGGAGCTGGCAGGAAGCCCCCCTCTCCACTTCGCTTCTCAGGCAGCCTTTCCAGGCAGCCCCTCTCAGCCCCTCAGAGGGCTCCGTTCCCAGCAGAGATGTCCCCACAGCCTTTCCTGCTTGTCCTGTGCGCAGAGACCACACTGAGGGAGCTCAGCCCTGAGCACCACCCCCAGGCAGGTGGCTCCGCAGGCTTCCTGACAACTGCACCCACTGCACTCTGCTGTTTAGAAGTGACCGCAAAAGCGGGAAAGGCAAGTAACGAGGAAGAGGAGGTAAAACAGGTGTGCCTTGGGGAGAAAAGGAGAGATTTCCTCACCTGCCATCGACGCCAAAGAAGCAGGCAAGGGACAGACCTTCTCGTGGCTGGTGTGCCTCCCTCACCCCACTTTATTTTACCCCACAATGCTGGGGAAGAGCAGGCACCCCTGGGCCTGGGGCCTGGCTCCAGTCTCTTCCCTACCCAAAAGCGTTCCTGGCACACCCAGCCTCGCTCATTCACAATTCCAAGCTCAGCACCTCAATCTGGTACTTCAGCCTCATTTATCTCCAGGGCCGGTGTGTTACCAAGCACGTGCAGGTGCTCTGAGCTGCGCCATGGAGAAGCCAGACAGCCACCAATCCTGGGTAGGAGCTGTCCACATAAAATGACTTCTAGGGCTTCACATGGTACCCCAGGAAAGGACTGCAGAAAAACTGGGCAACCAACAGCCTCCTCCCCAAATTTCTGCTCAGATTCAAACCGTCCATTTTGCAAAGGGGCACAGACTCCTATCGGGGCTTAAGGGGGAGAGTATAAAACAAGAGCCCACACTGCTTAGCTGGGCAGCTGTGGGTTCACTTTGAGCCGACTCCTCCCCAGTGGCTATGGAAGGAAAGCAGGGGTCAGGGGTCGCATGGACCAAGGGATTGTGCTATGCAGCCTGGAGATGGGTGGGGTGGGGTGGTGGTTCTCAGTCAAGAAGCTTCCGATTTATTTCGCTCCTCAGCCTGGGAGGCCTTGGCCACTCACCTGCTCTGTAAGGGACCAGGTCCTCCCTGAGCAAACAGAGACTTTGTCTGCCTCAGCCTCACCCACATCTGCCCCACACCCCAGCTCTGGTCCACCCGGTTTAAAAGAAATTGCAGTTTTCCAGCAACCACTAAACCACCCCACCTGCCTCCCTTACTCTAGCTCCTCGCTCCCAGGATGAGTACGACCCTCCTCAGTCCACAAGGGAGAAAGACAAAAAAGGGAGCAAAGAATTCCTCCCATCCTCCTTCACCAAGTAGTCAGGGCTGGGAAGGGGAAGAATTCACTGGAAAGAGCAGGGTATGAAGTAGGCAGGCCTCCAGCCCAGCTCTGCACTCCCTCTGTTCTTAGGTTGCTGAGCCCATCCGCCCTCTTCAGACTTCTCCTGCACCAGGGGTGCAGGGCACTCTTGCCACCCCAGACATATTCTTCCAGCCCAAAATTGCCAAGGCAATACAAGTTCGCAGGAAGAGTGTCTCCTTACACCTTCCCCTCTCCCCCTCCCTATCCCTACCCCAGGTACCAAGAATGAAGGAGACAACTGTGGACTCCACAGCATGCACCCCAGCCACCCCCAGCCCCAGGGCCTTCTCACCCAGAGACACCCAGGCCCTGTGGTCCCCAGGCTCAGAGAGGTGGGGGAGCAAGAAGGGGTTCAGCTGCTGCTCCCATCTGAACCCCAGGCCACACAGCTTGTCAGAGCCTGCTTGCCAGCTGCCAGTTTGGGCAGCTCCCCTGTGCTCCATAGGGATGCAAGAAAATGGGGTCTAATTCTCTCCTATGCCCTCCAGTCCCTGAGTACTTCTGACCCAAATGCCCCTGCCCCACTGCTCCCTGTCTGGAAAACAGAAAATCAACCAGAGGCAGCCTCACCTGTTGGGGAGATGGCAGGAGGAGGAGGAGGGAATTAGGGGTACAGAAAAGGGCAAGGAAGGGCTGCCTTCTAGAAGGACAGGTCCCTCTCACGTTCCAATTATCTCCCCTCCTCTCTGGGCCTCTGAGGGACCACACAAAGCTGGAGGAAACCCAAGCCCTCCAAGGCCTCCTGCAGCTCAGTCTAAGCCCCTCTCCTGCCTAGGGGAGCAGAACCCAGGTCCGGAGAGGACAAGGGCCTGGGCAAGTCTGAGACCCTGCCCTCTGCCTGCCCAGCTCTCGACACCAGGGCCACACACGGCACTCCCAGAGCATGCTGCTCTAGCTTGAAAGGGGACCTAGGAGGTGTTTATCCAAAGCAGAGTGGGGGTGATGGGTATAAGACACAGGAAAGACCTAAGTGTGCCCACCGAGAAAATCCAGCAGACCACGTGAGGTGAGTGGACCCCACAAACCCTCTGGGCTGGAGTGCCCACCGCTGGCTACCTTGCCCCATTCCAGGTTAGGTCCCAAGCAGGCAGTGGGTGCAGGGAAATGAAACAGTAACAGAAACAAACTTGGCCTGAACTTTCTCCAAAATTCAAAAGACAGAGTGGCGGAGGCGAGGAAAGGCCACGGGCCCACTCCCGGTAGCTCCCTCCGGGAAGGGAGGGTCAGCTAGACGGATAAAGAGGCCTTTGAGGGCTTTCAAAGGGGCTCCTGCCACCCCGCATGGCTGAGGTGGAGCTGGGGGGGTGGGGAGCAGACTCCCTCTGCTGACAGACAGAGGCCAGAGGGAGCCGGGCTGGGGGCAGCCCCGCCGGCCAGTGTCAGGCAGCAATTCTATGGCCTCTTTATGCGGGCCAGCGTCCCCACACCCCGCCCAGGCACATCAAACGGCGCAGCCCCCATTCTGACCCAGCCGGCAGAGCGACCCCGCTGTCCCCCCTCCACACTCACAAAGGCGGCTGCTTTCTCACACGCTCCTCTCCTCGGGAGCCCAGCACACTCCTCCGCTCTTCACTGCCACGGCAGCCCCTCCCACCTGCCCTCCCCCTCCCGCCCGCAAGGAGAAGGAAACTGGGGACAGGGCAGCTCACCACGAGGAATAATGACTCAGCTGCAGAAAGGGGGTGGGGTCACTCCAGGCCAATCTCCCCAAAATACACCCCACAGAGGCCAGGGCTACTGGTGGGGAGCAACCCACAGGGACTGCCTATAAGAATGCACCCCAGAATCTCATTCCAAGTTGAACTCTTCCAGGTCCTCTAGGCAGAGAAAAGGTCTGGGGTTCACCAGCTTAGCATCCCAGCCACTCACTGCCATGCCTCAGTCCCAGGACCCATGTCCTTGGCCTTACCTAGTAAAACCCCACGTGAGTTCTGGCTTCATGGAATTCCACAGAACTGGACTCCCCAGGAAGAGGCTGCCCTGGTCAGCCAGAGACCTGCCAGGGAGCACTTCTGTGAGGCAGGGAGTGCTCCTCAGGACTGAGGCCCTCGGGAGCAGTGAAGCCCACCGGGGCTGCCAGGAAGGGAACCTGGGACCAGCCTACTGGGCCTTCCAAAGACATCCGGCTTTGATGTTCTGGGCTCACATACTCCCAAGGGTCTGTTTTGCCTGCTCCCACCCTATAGAGACAACCCTTTGCACAAAGGGTCGAGGCCCAGACCTCACCAGCGCCCACAGATACCTGAGAACATGCTCAGAAGGCAGCCTCTGCACCTCCTGGAAATCCCAAGAACAAGGACCCCACCCAGCCCCAGGCATGCTCCCAGCTCCCGCCTCTTAGGGCCCAGAGGCCAGGGATTTAGAGTTCGCCCTGCTGGGCCGCCTTTTCTTCCCTTGGACTAGAAGCCTTCTGCTTAGCAGCTTGTCAGAGAGAGTGAGGGGGCTGCAGGCCGGGACACAAAGGGGGATTAGGGAGAAACCTCTCGGCCTGCAGAGTAATCCATCAAACTCTCTCCTGCTGCCAGCACTGGCCCCTTCCCACTCAATTCCCCTTCCAGCTGCTACGCCCCCCACCCCCTCCCAGCTCCTGAGTCCTGTCACATCGGGCAGCAAAGAGAATCCCAGGCCCTGGGGGGGCAGAGGGGGCACACCACAGACACTGGGAAAAGGGCAACAGCTCCCCCTGCAACTGGCCCCCAATGTGTGAAAACCCAACAGGTGGCAGTGGCCTGGAGGAGAGTGGCTTTTGTTGCCCTGTCTGAGAGCCCCAGCCCAGCTTCTGAATGGAAACAAATGCGAGGCAGTTGGGGGAGGGGGCCAGCGACAATCCCTGGAAGGGGCTGAGCTCTCCCCTCCCCTCTCCAATCCAGTGACAGGGGCTCAAGGCTGGCCTGACCCTCACCTTGGCCAGCCTAAGCTGAGACACCCTCCTCAGGGTCCCTGGCAATCCCATAGGGACAGTCATCACAGACGCACATCTGACGCTAGGTACCTGGACCTTCCAACAAGACCTCCTCTCAGAGAACAGCAGTGACCCAAGATCTCACTGGGTCATCTCGACCAAGTGCCCTCCAAACCAAGACAATGAGTACTCTTCAGACAACCCCCAGCCGCCGCCCCAGGGGCCACAGCCTCCAAGTCCCTGAGCCCTTGGACATCCCTGAGCCCCAGATGCTGCAGGGTGACCTGGGTTTGGCAGCTGGATGTGCATGCCAACTGCACCCCTTGCTGTTACTGTGTTACTGTTACTGACCTCCCCAGCCTCAGTTTCCTCATATGCTATTAATAACAGCAGCTAACACTGTGGGTCACTGCATGCCAGGCACCCTTCCAAGCATTTTCATCTCCACCTGCTTGTTAGGCAAGGAAACAGATTAGTAATGCCGCCTTCACAGGCAGGTTGTATGTTTGAGAGGAAGTGTATAGGAATCCCCATGGTCCCTTCCTCTGTTATCTGGGCCTCCTCAGCAGAGAAACCTGGGGAAGGGCACCTCAGCTTAGGCTGCCCTGGCCAAGGTGAGGGTCAGGCCAGCCCCAGAGGCCCTGTCACTCCACCAGACGGAAGGGGAGATCAGAACCCATTCCAGGACCCAGGAGCAGCAGAGACCACAGATGACCAGGCCTTTCTGCCTTTCTCCTCTGCTTCCATTCCCCTCTCACCCACAAGCCTCCCACACTGGCACCAGCCCTGGGTCAGCCCCCAAAGCCAGAGGAATGCCAAGAATGCAAATGCCGCCTGAGCCCCAGGTGCTGGCCCCAACAGGTGAGGAGAGGTCACCACAACAGACCTGCCAGCGTCAGCATCAGCGGATGCAAAGGGACAAGGAGGGTGGGATAAACATCCTGCAGTCAGGAGGGGGGCGGTCCCATCCACAGAGACCCCCTCATACTGGCTGACACCTACCGACTGTCCGCAGGTGTCTGGCATGTGCTGAGTGCCTGGCAGACCTCTCTAAGTCATGCCACTGGCACGATCCCACAAAGGAGGTAATTAATACCATGATCTCACAAGGAAGAAAATCAAGTCTTTGAGAAATTCATTAACATGCCCAAGTAGCACAGGTAAAAAGGGCTGAATGGAAAATTCAAACCATTCAAAAATTCTAGAAAGTACTCTGAACTAAATGTCAGAAAATTGTGGATTCGGTTCAGGCGACTTGTCACTCTGCAGCCTGGACACGGCACCCACCTCTCTGGGGCTTGGTTTCTACTGGGGGGAGGGGAGGGAATGAGAGGTTATCTCAGCGATGTCTTTACAACCTGTGTTGTGTGATCTCACGCCCTCCCAGTTGCCCCAGGTAGGGCACGCACCAGGGACAGGTGCCCACAGGGGGCTCACTAACAGGTCCGATGGCTGGGTTGGGGGTGGGTGTGGGGGTTTTCACAGCCTCCACCAATGAGCCCAGGCAACCAGCTGTAGAGGGGCTCCCAGCTGCCTGGCCCCAGCCTTCACCTGCCCAAATACTGTCCAAGCTGCCACCTGAAACTGAGCCAAGTGGCCAAGACATCTGGGGGCAGAACTGTCTTCTTCCCTACTCCCTCCCAGAGTCAGAGTCCTCCTGGAAGAAATTAGTAACTAAATTCTTTCTCTACTTGGGCACAACAGACGCTTCCCTTCAAGGTAAGGGAGCAGTACCAAGAAAGACCTTGGTCCAGAACAGGGGGAGAGGACCCCTGGAGGAGACAATATATCCAGGCCACAGGGAAATTCCCCTCCCCTCCTCCCCTGCCTTGCTATAGTCCCTGCAAAGTGAAATCTGACCTCCTCCCAGCTGGTGAACTTGAACTTTGCAAGTCAGCCAGACCAGGGAGCTCTCCCCATCCATGTCCAGCCAACCCTTGTCCCTTCCCTGCAGCCAGGCCTCTCAGGAGGTGAAGTAGGCAGGAAAAAGGTCAGGGTGACCTGGGCAGAGACAAGGAACAGAGCCCTGCACTGGGAGTCAACCAGAGTGCTGGCCCAACTCGACCAGGTCCTGCCTCTAGGACCTCAAATTCTGTGGTCTCCAAGACACTTTCAGTCCCTGGGCCTGTGACCAGCCCCATCTATCAGGAGAGGGCTCTGGGTCCAACTCCGTCCAGTAGAAATGTGAACAAGGTGCAGGAGGGCTCCAAAAGAGACTCTTTATTCAAGATCCCCAGCCTGCTGGCCTCGGAGGAAGCATGCCTCAGTGCGTGCAACCTAACCTCCCCCAAGGGAATGTTAAAGTGCACTAAAACCCACCCAGCCAGCCAGCCAGCCAGCCAGCTCTCACTGAGCCCCAATTATATGCACCCACAGTGAAGGTGCTGGGGAGCAGAAACTAGTGACTGCAGTGCCTTCAGCAAAAGGGAAAAAGTGCAATCAAAGGCCATAAGGTGGTACAGGTGAGACACACACCTCTAGAGTGGGGGCCCAAGGGGTGAAGCACGTCCAGTTCTTTTGGGGCTTCTGGAAGAGGTGGCCATGTTGCTGAGCAGGGAAAGATGAGCAGGTAGGCACTATGCAAAGAAAGATAAATGTCTGCAAGACACAGCCACACACATCCACTTCTTCAGTGCCACCCCCACCCCTCACCGCTACCCCGCAGTGAAGTGTGGTGGAAAGAAGACTCAAAATGGTGGCATTGGTTCTGATGGAATATCTGGGCCCAAGATGGGGAATTCATCAGCACCAGGATTGTTTTTGCTCCTAAAGCAGTTCGTGCTCCGGGTACCCACACCCCTAACAGCTCTCCCTTCCCCTCCCAAGCCCAACTGTCCTTCAGGGCTACCTGGGATCCTAGTGTGCTCCTGGTGCTCACCTGACAGCCTTCAAAGTTGGTGATGGCCCTGATCCCCCTGGCCTCTAGCTGACAGTCCTTCCCTAGCCCCATACCACACCACTTGCCCTTCAGCTCCTGGAAAGCAGAGGCTGAAAAGTGGGTGCACAACAGAAGGCCTCACTGAGTGCGAGTCAGGATTCGGTGTGTGCTCCGTCATTTGACCAGCATGCCTGGGACTCAGGTAGGGCCTCCTCAGGGTATCTGGGTGCTCAGCTCTCTGGCGGTGGGAGCCAGGAGTGGAACATTAGATTTCCACATCCCTAGGGATGGGCAGGGTGCTCCCAGGTGGAACACTGTTTGCCAGCCCAAAGTACACTGGAGATAAGCGGGGCGAAGGTGTGCGGGGAGCACCCCGGAAAGGGCCTGCTGTTGGGTTGGCTGCTCCTTAGAGCACTCATCTGGCTGGGCACCATTCAGATGGGCACCATTCAGTCTGGCCTGCATCTGGTCCCTGGGAGACGACGGGCGGTGAGTCCCCCAGCGCCCCAAGGAGAGTGAGCGCAGGATTCACCAGGAGGGGAAGGACATAAACACACTGAGCAGCTGGTGCTGCTCTCTGTGCAGCAAGTGCAGGCACTTTGTTAACACACCTGCTCATTTAACCCTCTTGTCACCTTGCAAGGTGAACATTATCTCCATTTTACAGACACGGACACCAAGGCCAACAGGTAAGGCAGGCCTGTCTCTAACATCAGAAGCAAAGAAGCCCCACACATCATCTAAGGTCAGTAGCAAACTGTGGGCTTCTCCCCAGGAGACAGAAACACAGACCACGTAGTAGAAAAGAGGACTCAGTAGGATGCTCTGGCCAGATATCAAGACCATCCCGTGACGACTCTGTCACCAGCCCCGCCCCCAAGCAGGGACACTTAATACACTGGACAAAAGCTCTACACTCGGCTCTATTGCTGGGAGTCAAGTGGCATCAGCGTCGAGGCACTGGGCCTGGTACCAACTGGTCCAGCTTCTACCCTCGCTGTGTGCACACAGGGCTGCTGACTGTCCAGTGAAAGGCAAGCTGGGGTTTTCTTGTGGAGGCCAGAAAGCAGCGTGAGGGATCCCAAGGACTGAAGAGGGAGCACAGGGCAGAACCCCAAATTCAGAGCACTCTTTCATGTGGTTTCCCTAAAAGTAACAACAGCCTTTCTTAATAGGAGGCACTTACACGTAACCTTTCAGGGTGTACCTTCACCTCTGTTCCCTCAAGGTACCACCAGCGGAGGAAGGCAAGCGGGGTTTCTGGACTGATTAAAAGCAGTCATACACAGTATTGATAGGGGAGAGATCCAGTTCTTCTCACTGGACCACGAGTTCCACTGCTAATGTGTCGTTCATGGTTTACATAGTTATATGTGGTTGAATCCCCTGGCAAAGAAACTCTGGTTTCTAATGTGAACCACAGTGACTGTCTCCATTGTCACCAATCACAGCAGCTGACACTTATCAAGCTCTCTTTACATACAGCTGCTGTGCTGCGCTTCACCTACAGCGGCGCGTTTAATCCTCACAGTGCTTCGAGGTGGTACGGTGTCCTCATTTTACAGGGAAGTCAAAGCACCGAGAAGTGGGGTGATTTCTGCCAAGAGGAAATGGCACTCAATCCCAGCAACGGGATGCTACTAGCCCAGCCCTTCTACTGACTCCCCAGCAGCAGGAAACCTTGCTTCCAGAGAAACAAGGTCTATAGCAAAGGCTTTTCTTTTTCAGAGTGGAAGAGAATCCTGGACTGGGTGCTCCTGTCCCTGGGCCACAGGTCACAGGTCCAGTAGATACAGTCAATGCCAGCTAATATTTATTGAGCACTTACTATGTTTTGGGCACAGTCTGGTGCTGTATACATGATTTAATAAAGCTAATTTTTACTTTATGTTATATATAATTATATAGCCATAAATATTTATAGCTGTTATATTTATGACTTAATAAATAACAAAGCTAGGGAGTAGGTATTACCATTATCACCATCACCCCCATTTGCAACCAGTGAAACTGAGGCTAAAAAACAGCTAGTGGAGCAGCCAAGATAGAAACCCTGCCGTTCTGACAGACTGGGTTTTCATCCACAGTGTTGTGTTACTAGGAGATAAGGAACAGAGGATAGTGCTTCAACTTTACTGTCTGAGTCCTCAGGTCACGGCAGCCTCTGCCTTTTCCCTCCAGGGCCTGGCCCATGCCTCTGCCACCCAGCAGCCTGGAAAGACCTTTGTGAGCAGCCAGGACTCCTGTTTAGCCCCTGCTCCTCTTCCTCTGCCTCGGGGACAACTGGGGGCTGGGGGGGGAAGAAACATGGGGGCATTCACTAGATACCACATGAGCACATGGGAAAACTTCCCCCCACACACTCCACCCCACCAAATTGGGGCCTCTAAGTCCACAGCTGTATTTTTGTCTCCAGACTCACCCTGCTGACTCAAGCTTCATTTTCTGAGCACTTTTAGAACATTGTCCTGGCTCTAGGACAGGCCAGGGGGAGGAGATAAGGGAGGAATGAGGGGGTGGGAGCCATCCAACAAAAGGGGCTGTGACCTCAAATCACATCCCACTCACTCCCTGGGAGAACCTCTACCGGTTTCCTGGGGCTGCCATCCAACCTGCAGCTCTGGGCCCTCTTCTCCCCACCCCTACATGCCAACATGTTTCCTGGGTCTTGGGCAGGTGAGTCCACAGCAGGCTGCCCCGCGCTGAAGGAGACCTGCTCCAGCCTGCATCAGGATGGCAGCCCAAGGCCCCAGGGCCTCACCCCAAGCCACACTTTCAGGAACTAAACTAGGGTCACTTGGGCCCTGGTCCACTGGACATGACCTGCCCGGGACTCCAGGGCAGCAACACAGCGGTTGGCCTATTCCTAGTTCCCTGTCCATTGAGCTTGGTCTGTGTAATAGGCAACGGCAAATCCTCACCAGGGGCCCACGGAGCCAAACCCTTCCCTACTCCCAGCTCTGGTTCCTGGTGAAAGAGGAAGCAACAATGGGGGTGGCTCTCCGGAGGGGGAAAAACTGAGCAGGTCAGCAGTGTCTGCCAGGAAGATGGAAGCTGATTCAGAGGTCAAGGGCAAGAGCGACTCACAGGGCTGCAGAGCCTGAGGGGTCAGGGGAACACTGACCCTGCAGCCCTGGAGCTTCTCCAGCAGGTCCCCGGCAAGCTGTACCGGGCGCCCAGGTACCACCTCATCACACCTGTTTGCTCCTCTCAACAAATATCACTAGACCTACCTGAGCCCTGGGAAACCAGGCGCAAACTCGGCCTCTCTTCTTCCTCCCGCTCTGAGGGGTTACAGGCGGAGAAGGGGGCAGTGGAGCGCAGGCACGCGCACGCACATTCGCACTCCAGCCTTCGCACGCTGGGCGTAACACTCAGAGCCTCGCCCCAAGAGTAAAGTCCCAAAGGGGTCAGTCATCTTTCCCTCCTAGAGCAGCACCCCAGCCCCCCTTCCTGAGCAATGCGGCCCAAGCCCGAGGACCCCTGGGCGTCTCGGCCGCCAGCCCCTTTCCCGGCTCCCAAGTGCGCGCCGCGGTGACTCATCCAGCTCTTTTCCGGTGAAGCCCAGACAAGGGAAGAAAATAAATGCAACTTTCCAAAGAAAACTCTGCCGCGGGAGGTTGCAACAGGAGCGAGCGGCTGCTGGGCCGCCGCCGGCCCGGCCCGGGGCTCAGCGCAGGGGCCGCTCCCGCCCACCCCGCCGCCCGGCCTGGGACGCCTGGCCCCGGGCGCCTCGAGCCCAGCCCGCCCTCCGCGGAAGAAAGCACAGCTCGGCGGGGACCCTAGCGGCGCCCGACACTCCGCAGCCGGACCGCCGCGGAGCTCTGGGGAGAGGGCGCCCCGGGGCGCCCGCCCAGCTCCCCCCGGGGCTCCGGCCGCCACGGCGCGGCCCCCTCCCGCGGGGCGCCAACCCGCGACCCCGCGGAGTCCCACCGCGCAGCGCCCCTCCCTTCCCCGCGCCCGACCCTCTTCCCCGGGAGAAGAAGGGGCGCGAGCCCACCTGGCCGAGGCGAGCGGCTGTCACTCCGGGCCGGCGCGTGCGGGCTCGTCCCCCCGCACCCCACGCGCGCCAGCCGGCGGCTTTTAAATCTCCAGGTTGCTCGCCGGGGGGAGAGAGCATGCGCGCTGGGGCGGCCAGGAGGGGGCGGGGCGAGCGGGACGGAGGTGGGGGGTGCCGGGAGGGGGTCTGCCGGGGTGGGGCTGGTGCCCGAGGGAGGGAAGCCGGAGGGCTCGGAGCTGGCTTTGTGGCTGGCCGCGGCGGGCAGCCCCCGCGTGGCCCCCGGACGGCCCTGTCATTACCTAGGCCGTGCACCGCCCCCTCCGCGCCGCCAAAACATTTAGGTAAAACCTCCCCGGGCCCGCGGGCACCTCCCCGCCCCGGAGCCTGCGGGCGACCATTGCCCGCCTGCTGTTCTGGCCACCCCCTGTCCCAGGCGGAGCTGCACCCCACCCTGCCAGGGCTGGCCCTTGAGAGGCGACGGCGCGTTCTCCCGAGTTACTCTTTCCCGAGGCAGAAACATCTCCCTGATAGCTAACTCAGTCCCTCCTCCTGAAGTTAAAAGCCAAATTCCAATTTTTTTTCTCTATTAGGTGTGTATGGGGAAGAAGGGATGATACCTTGGCAATAAAATGTGCCCTTTGTGAGCCCTTGAGCAAGGTCCCAACAAGATTTCCAAAAAGCCCTTGAGAAGAGTGGATCATGCAGGTGGGAGGCATGGCTGGCCTTGGGCTGGGGCCCTTGTGTCTGTTTTCCTCCTGGGAGTTGTGTTTGGGTGCAGGGAAACCCCACCATGGGATTGTGAGCTTGAATGCCAGGAAGACCCAGGAAGAAGCCTTTGGAAAGGAAGACTAGTGTGGACGCACTGCCACCAGCCAGGGTGCTGAGGGGCGAGCCCCTTCCATGTTCTGGGCCTCTGTGAAAATAGGGGCTCCCCAGATAATTGCCAAGCTGGGAGGCAAAGAAGTAATGAAAACAGAGAAGGAGGAGGGCGCCTGGAGGTCCTGGGGAAGAGGGTGGGTGCAGGGAGGGCAGAGAAGAGGAAAATCAAGAATCTGACTTCTGAGTAAACAGGTTTCACTTGAAAACTGTCTCAGCATTGTCTCAGGAGCAGGTCACCCCCCAGGAGCCTGACAGCTTGCCCGAGCCTTCTGCATACACATTTGTGGTTAGCAGAGACTCCTGGGTTCCTGAGCCTGTGTCCCCTGGACCCCAGAGAAGAGGGCAGGAGTCAAAGGGAATTCCAGGTCAGCTGGAAATTTACAGAGCCGGGGGAGAATGGCCCATGGTATTTTCCAGGCTTGGGGAAAGAGCACAGAGCCAGAGGGAGTTGTCCCACCTTAGAAGAGGGGGAGTCCCCTCTCCTCCTGATTTTTTGCCAGGGCCTTCATACCTTATGCCTTGTGACATGGGAAGTGCATGGGGGGGAAGGGGAGAGTGAGTGTGATGTGAGATCCTGGACTCCACCCAGCATCGTGGCCACCAGAGTAAGTGCCTGCCAAGTCACATACCCCCCCACCATGCAGGTGGTCATTTTTAACAGGCTGCTGCTTTGCTGTCAAAATGCCCACCCCCCTTTTTCTGGTGATGTAGCCTCCTGTATCAATAACAATAACAATACTACTAGGTAACTGTTACAGGCTGATTCAGGCACTAGTCTAAGTGATTTCCTGTATTAACTCAGCCTTTCTGACAACTTCTTGGTATCATTTTCAGATGGAGAAACTGAGGCAGTTCCTCAGTCCAGTCACAACCCCTCCCCTGCCCTCCCTCCCCCCCGGAACTCATCTCCACGTTCCAGACACACGCAGAGGCAGCAATCATCATCCAGACTGGCAGTGACTTTAGAGCCTTAGAGAAAGTCTTTACACCCATACTACTGCCCCCATGTTGGGCTGTTCCTGGCAAGTAATGGCTTCTCTGGATCTCAGTCCCCCACTAAGTGAGCTAGAGAAAAATCACCATATCCCTTGCTCTTCCTCCCTTTCCCTCCCCCACCAGATGCACATACACCCTTCTCCCTGGCTACTTCCCATTTATAGGAAATGGGGGATGACGTTAGGAGCAAGGGCATCCTTGGGGAACTGCTAATAGTCTGCCTCAATATTGGAGAAACCAAAGATGGTGGCAAAAATGCATTAGCAGCCTCTGCTCCACCCCCCCACCCACAGCCCCTTCCCATTATCAGGGGCTCAGTACAAGCACCATCCTCTTTCTAGAGCGTTAAGATTTCCAGGTGCAGCTGGTTAGCCTGGAGAAACCTGAGAAGCCTGAGAAGCCACGAAGGACGGGAGTTCCCTCGATGTCCCCACTCTCTCGCCTTCTCTACCATCTGAAGACCATGGTCCCCTTTGAAGTCTCATCCTGCTTGCCTCAGGATGAGGGCTGAGCGGTCTCCTTAAATAGAAAGGCCACCAACAGGACTAGCTGTGGAATTGGAAACGGTAGGGATGGGTCTCCCGGACACAATAACCCACATCTGGGGTTTCTCCTGTGGTCGAATAATCAGAGACACATAAACCAGAAGCAGGTACACGATGTTCATGTCACCACTCTTTATACTCATGAAAAATTAAAAACAGTTTAAATGTGGAATAATAAGCTGTTGGCTAAGCAAATTATGGTAAATCCATACAATGGAACATTATGCTGCCATTAAAAATTATAAGAGCTTTGATTGGGGAAATGTTTATTATATAGTACCAGTGAGAACAGCCAACTACAAAATGGCATGCACAGTGGGATATATCAATACATGTTTTTAAAATTAGGTATTATGCTATTGCAACATGGCATGCTGAATTGGATCCTGGAACAGAAAAATAACATTGATGGAACACAAATCAAGTCTGCAGTTTGTAAATAGTGCTCCATGGGGACTGATTTCTCAGTTTGTTTTTTTAAAGATTTATTTATTTATGCATACAAGAGCTGGGGTATAGGCCAGAGGTGCAGGGGTTGGGGCATGTGAGAGTATTCACCAGAGACAGTGGGGAGCAGAACAGGTGGATAGTCTGAAATACACTGTGAGACAGAAGAGGTCTGCTGCGCCATGTGGGTCAGTTCCCTGGCCAGGGATCGAACTTGTGCTGCAGTGGCTGGCAATAGCTTCATAGTGCTGAGACTTAACCCCTTGCGCCACCAAGGAGGCCCATCTCCACATTTTCTGTATGGATCAGAAATTGTTTTTTGTAAATGGAATGAAAAGAATCACATTTTAGGGCCTCCCTGGTGGTGCAAGGGGTTAAGACGCAACCTATGAAGCAATCCGCAGCCACTGCAGCACAAGTTCGATTCCTGGCCAGGGAGCTACCCACACAGTGCAGCAGACCTCTCCTGCCTCACCCACTGCTCCCCTCAGCAGTGTACTTTGGTTAATCTGCCTATTCTGTTCCCCACTCTGTCTCTGGTGAATCCTCTCACCCCCCACACCTCTGGCCTGTACCCCAGCTCTTGTATGCATAAATAAATAAATATTTAAAAAAAAAACCATCACATTTTAAAAGGGGAAATGATAGAATAACAGGAAGGAAGCAGACAGAAACACATGAGAAATCACCCTGGCCCGCCCCAGTTTCTGTTCAAGGGACGGGCTACCAGGTGAGGGGGCAATAGGGTGGAACCTGAGCAGAACCAACCCGTGTGGCCCCCTTACCTGAACGCTTTAGAAAGGCTTAGGTGAAGAAATAAGATGGCAAAGTTTGAGAAGAGTAAAGAGACAACCTGGAGGGGTTATGCCCACACACCTGGGCCTATTTCCACCATCACCAAACACTCTGCATACACAAAAGGACATTGACACCATTAAAACAGAGAGCAGCATTTTCCCTGTCACCCCTCGAGCCTGGGAATGACTGTGGCCTCTAGTTCCTGGGGTTGCTTGTGCTCTGCCCTGCCTGTCACTGCTAGAAGGCGGGCGCCCCATCTCAGTGAGTTCACTGGGGGCGGGGCCAAGCAGCTTTCAGCAGGTTAAGCAAGGTGAGATGTTGCTGGGTTCCGGGCACCAGGTAGGGTGAGCCTGTGAACACTGTAGTCCTCTCCAGTGCGGAGGACCGATGAGCTCCATCCCATTCTCCTCACCAGGGCCAGAACTGAGTCCCTCGGCCTCCCTGATTTTAGGGCATCAGTAGAGGACTCCTTTTGAGAAACAGAAGTCACAGGACGCAATGGAGTTGGGATTAGATGCTTGATGCAACTCATTCAGGGCGAGGCACAGACAAAAAGGTAATGCAATCTCCTTCCCCTTGGGGGTTTCAGGAGCGAACCAGACAACCTCCCTGTAAGTCCCTGAAAGGGAAAGACACTCCACTGGGCCCTCTTATGAAATGCCTGGAGCAAGGAGGCGCTTCCTTCCCTGTGAATACCAGCCATTCAACTCGTGCTCAGACTGCCTGAGGGGCGAACTACCAGGGTGGGGTTCAAGAATGGGGTAGGACAGCCAGAGACTACAGAACTCTGCCGAGGCCAACTCCACACCCCCACTGAGATCCACCCACTGCGATCCTTTACCAAATAGTCACGGAGAGGTTAAGTGTTAGAGTGGAAAAGTGGGGGCTAAGCCCAGGAATCAGACCAGTGCCACCATTAGGCACCCAGTCATTCATTCCTCATTCAACAAACATTTATTAAATAACAAT